GAAGAAGGGGAAGAAGAAGGGGAGTTGAGAAACAGAAGTTTTGAAAAGGGACTAGATGGTAAAAAAAGAATAACGTGTCTAGGGAGACCTGACAGGAAGATACTGCGGTCTAAGGAAGGAGATGGGGTGGGCTGGGGAGAGTGAACATTCAAGAATTTACAGAAGTGTCATCTGAACTGGACTAAGAATACAGTAACAAAGATGTGGACCATTACTTTTTCCAGGTTGGAAAGCGAGTTACCAAGACTTTGACCACCAAGTATTTTCATTTGTGGGAGTAAAATGGCAAAGTAGGTTAATCTGATGCTTTGCTGACATTTTGTTACAAGAGCTTGTTTCTCTTTTCTTTTTTTGTTTGGTTTTGGGTTTTGTTTTGGTTGGTGGTTTGTTTTTTTTAAGAAAAGTAGAAGGGATGTTAAAACAGTTCTGAAAGATGAGGGGGAAATTAAATAAGCTTGAATTAAGTTGTTTTGTTGCCCATTTAAACAGATGAGTTCGTTGCTAGAAGAAAAAAAAGCGGGGGGGGGATAACGTGGCACCTACTGCCACACACAGAATCTTTGTTTTCTTTCTGTATACTATTTCAGGGTCAATTCAACAGAGTAAAAGCACATGAAATTTTCACGTGGTGGTTTGTTGGTGACAGTTTTATGGAGTTGCTTTTACCTCTTGGTCTCTTAATGTGGCATCTCCCCCCACATCACCCTGCTCCTGGCCATACTTAGCAAGAAGCCACCTCAAGAGCCTCCCACAGATTCGTATTTTAAACTCCACTTCCCTAGTGTGGGCTCTCTATTGAGAGCACTGTGATTAAACTGTGCACCAAGAAGATGAGATCATATAATGCTTGAGCAGGCGCTTATTCATAGCAGAATTTGCAGTGGAAGATTTTGTACCTACTAGCAGGTGAGTCTTAACAAATACTCCCATATTAAAAAAATAAATAAATAAAAATGGGATCTTTAATTCATCTGTTAATTAAAATTATTTCATTTTTCTGGCATTGGGTGAGTATTAATGCAGGTTAAGGAAAAAAAAAACCAAAACAATTAGTTCATATTCACTGAACTTTCTGTTTGTCTTGAGCTTTGTTAGATTTGACACCAGACTTCATAAGACCTGAGCTTAATGGGTTCTTCCAGTGTCCAAAGGCACACACATTAAAGGGGTGGGGGGAGCCCAGCTGACACAAGCACTTTTCACAAGCACAAGCCCACTGTCCCAGGTCTCTTTTTAAGGGCACAGACCAGTCCATCCCACTGCAGTGTTCTCTGTGTCAATGTGAAGCTGACTCCAGACTCCTCTTCAAGAAGGGAGCAAGGAGCCTTCCCATAGGAGGACACTGTTCATACGGCCTGTTCAACAGTCCTGGGCAAACACCCAGCCTGCAGTGTTTGTCTCTGAGACAGATGTCATTTTCTGGGCTTAAAAACATGCCCAGCACTGAAATAACAGTTTTGAAGCTACGTCTCTTCACAGAAATTGTATTCTGTGGGCATCTCACTGCTGCTTTATGCCTTGCCTGGCTGCAAGGCTTTGGTTATTGTAACTTCTTTCGTCAACAGATTTTTCCTCTTTTCACAATATGTTCATCTAATTTCTTCTCCATTTCCTATCTCTTTTCATTTGGCAACGTTTGTCTCAGTGAGGAGGATTGGACTTCGTCTGTGGGTATTACAATGGGTAAATATATCAACAATTTTTTACTTACGTGTCAGTCACTGGGTTGCGTAACACAGTCATAGTGGTTTATTCTTATTTTGTGTGGGAGACAGTGAAATACTGGTACAAGTAACATTAAAGGCTGCCACAGAATGCCTCCTGTAAGGCATACAGCCCCCAAAAAGGGCTGTAAATATTAAATATAGTCTAATGAATTGATGACAATAAATGTGTAGTTGAATATCTCTGACTGGGCAGTGCTGGGACATTTCGGGGCAATAGCTCTTTCAGTTAAGACAGTCACATATCAGTGTTTGCTATTAGCTGCTGACCAGAACTAGCTACAGGGACACTGTCTTAACCTGTCAGGATACAACAGTTTTTCTCCTTTTAATATTCTGAGAAGTTTACATGGGTTTGGGGGGATTGATTTTGTTGGTTTGGGGGGGAGGGGGTTGTGACTTTTTGTTTGTTTGTTTATGGGAGGTTTTGCAGAAGAAGCTTTTGTTGTTTCCATGTTTACAAAGATGCTTCCATCACGATGGGCCCATGTTTTGCATTTTGGACGGTACATCCACGGATGATCCAGGTTTATTCGGGGAGGACAGTTTCCTTCACAAATGGAGGAAGGGTAACACCTAGTGGGAGTAAATCCACATTGCAGTTAAGAAATACAAAGAGCTCCTAAGTATTGCCAGCATGACCCAAGGCGCATAAAGAGAAAATGGTGCTTTTTCAGTAGATGTAAACTATTATTTTTTCAGCTTCTTCGTGAGAAACTTAGTAGAGCAAGAACATATTTTATCACTGTTCTGAACTAAAGTATTTATTATTTCTTCTAGCAGTCTTCACTGTGTGACATGGTATAATATTGCTTAGAAATACCTAATTGCATATGACTGAGTTGTTTGAATTTTAATACCGAATTCAGTGAAATATTTAGCCTTCTGCATAAAATCATCAAAAGGAGTTAGTGATCTAAACTGAACTGGAGGTTCAAATACGCTCATTTAATGCAAGAAAAAGAGTCCAAGAGTCCCACAGCAGAGCATGTTGTCTAAGAGTCAGAAATCCTTCACTTTTTTGGGACTTATATGTTCTCCAAAATGTGTGTAGTTCCATAGGTTTGACTTTGACAGTCAATGGATGGCTACTAGGTTGAAATCTTTCCCATTTCTGAATCATTATTCATTATCAGCCTCAGCATTACCCTCAAGTGATACCAAGTAATATTTCCAAAAGCTTGAAATGTGCATTATTCAACCCAATGTCAGAACTCAACTCCTTCTACAGAGAGTATTCTCTCTCTGCAAACTCAGTTTCACAGGCTTTCATTAGTTGAATACAAATGTATACATTCATAGATTTCAATATTTCATGTGAATTGTAATGAATGTTACCTGTGAAGTTACATCTGATGATATCTGTTCATAGAGATTGTTTTGTCTCTGTGTTTGCATGTACAGCTGAATACATTTAGCCAGAACTGTGTGTTCTAGGAAATCCAGCTGCTGTGAAAAATCTGCACATTCTAGCATGAAAGATATTAAAGAGCCAGAATAATACAGGCTTAAGGGAACTCAGAAAGTCATCAAGGGCTCATGCACTTTCCTCCTGCCAGGGTGCCACAGACATTGCTTTGGATAATTTTGTGAGGGCAATGCTCTGCAGAGTCTGGGGAAGAGGGAGGGAGAGGAGGACAGACATTAGCTGTGTATTCTGTGTCCTTGGCCAATACAGAGCTATAGAGTGTGACTGAGAAACATAATCAAGTGAGCAATTAGTGAAGGTCAGAGATGTGTTAATTTCCTTCAAGCACCTTTGTGAAAATTGGAAGACAAAAAGTACCCTCTCAATGTCATGGGGTCATGCAGGTAGTTTCTGCCTTGGTAAAGAAGAGCACTGAAGGGTACACCTTCCACACACATCCTGAGCATCACTGAATTTGGAGAATACAAGAAAAGAGGCTATGCAGCTTATGTCAAATGGGGAAATACTCCCAGCTGCTTCTTTTCAGGTGATATCTAGGAAAATGTGATACTTGGTCTCCTGTTTTGGTTAATTATCAGAAAGTTACAGCCCTGTCCGATAGCAAAGGAGCAGAGGACAGCTGTGTCATTTTATAACATGCAGTGGTGTACTTTACATGCACAACATGTGAGGCTTTTCTCCTATGCTAAATCACTAATAACCCCTATGGAGCAGCTTTAAATCAGAGTTCTTTTTGTGAGCCTGAGCTCTCTGAAAGTAATCTTCCGTATCTCTGAGAAATATTTCAGTCATGTCTTCATGTCCTCTCTCAGCAATTCTCCTATCTGTGAATAAATAGGATTCTGACCTGGCTTCTACCATAACAACAGAAAGACAACCAGGCCTCTGCAAAACACATAAGTGGAAACTACATTCATCTTCTACATTACCATTGGTGTAAGTCAAGAGCCTTAAGCTGTCTCTTAGAACTTAACAGTGTGAGGATTCAGCAAAAGAGCTCTCTAATAGGGAAAATACAATACATTATCTAGCTAATTAGGATTAAAAAATCAACCTCTACTCCCTCTTCTTACTAGCCTGCCTTCCTGTAGGGTTGGACAGGCTTCAGAATAGGCTTTAAAGAGGTAAAAAACACATTTTTTGGTGCTTTTGGGTACAATCAAATGGTAAGAGCTTTGATCTTCAGAGGAGCAAGTTAAGGGCTGTCCCTGTCTATTCTTCTGAACAGCTAATCACAAGGGTGGTTTCATTCCTGGGTAGGAATCCTAGCCAAAAGAAAATGCCTTTTAATTACATTTTTTAATTTAAAGGTCTTACTTTCACCCTTTTCTTACAAAAATGTGTTGTAAAAAAAGGAATTAAAAAGGTATTGATATAATTATTTTCAAAAGAGTGATCCTTCAAAGGTAGAATAATAATAGTAATAATAATAATGATATTGGTGATTGTGTGCTTCAAATTTTTGTATTCACTTTAGCTGTGATTTGGAGGTATACTGTTCACTAATCAAGCCTTTTTCAAAATCATAACTGTGGTCAGTGAACAGTAATTAATGCATTTGCTATTGCTTTCTTCCACTATGTACCAATGCAAGCTGTGCTTAACCAGCATTAACTCTTTAAGTTAGATTAAATAAGCAAATGAAATGCAGTCATTCATTTCAACAGACTCAGAAATTGAATGTGCTGCTTTGTTCTCTTTACACCTTTTTCTGTTGAAAACAATTTTAAATTCCTGGTATATTTAATAGAAGAAATATCAAAACCCTTAGTAGGGGTTCTTACAGCATCTGCAAAGGTGTAAAGGGGATGAAAGCTCACAGCAGGCACTCTACTATAGATAAGTTGGTAAATTATTTTTTACTACCTTAGGTACCTTGCTTGACTCCCTGAGAAAAACATGTTTGCACTAGTTTAGTTTTTTCCTCTGCTGAGACCCAAGTTTGCATCCCCGATGGCAGAGCTGACCTTATGGGTGTCAAACCCTGCTGGTTTCACAGCCCATGTAAATTACTGAGTGGTATTAAACTGTCAAGGAATGAGTGGCACCACAAGGCTTGTGCAGTGTTTCACAGCCCCCTGCTTGCCCCTGTCCCCCCAGGGTATCAGTCCTGAAGGATGCTTTGAGTAGAGATGGTTCCAGCTTTCCACTGTGCTTCACAGTTTAGTGTCTCTCCACCAGTTTTCATCATCTCTCAACAAAGGCTGAAATTAAATTAATGAAATCTCATTAGAGAATTGCTATTCACTTCCACAGAAATGAAGATTAAAAACTATTTCTATACACATAAAGAGAGAGAGAGAGAACCTTCAATGTTAGTCTACTCAAACTTGATTCTCCTTCTTTGGCTTCTGAGCCTCCTACATTGGAAGTGCAGCTCCACAAACTCTTAGCTGCTCCAGACATCCTGGAAAATATCCATTCTGTCAAGACCTTGCCAAAGTACATGTCACCAATGGCTATAACTAGAGTTCATGCCAGTGAGGACATCTGTGAGTGAAGGCTGTAATTACATACTCTTAGCTCCTGCAGGCAGTGTATCTCAGCTGTTCAACCCATGCCAGAAAGAGATGCTGGACCTCCTATTCACTGATACCCTTCCTGACCTGCCATGAAGAATAATGTGTCACAGAGAATACATTTCAGCTACTTGGCAGGGAAAATTATTCACTCATAAACTGCCAAAAAATCTCTGCCTAGAGGGTGAGATAGCAGACAGCCTTCTGTTAGGGCCAAAATTGAGTTTGCCAGTTTTTACTTCAGCCCTTATCCTTAGCACTGTTTTCAGAACTTCTACCTGTTATCCACTGCATAAACCAACTTGATTTTTCCTTTGGACTGAGCCAAGCTTGAAGAAACCTGGAATCAACTTAATCAGGTATAGCTGATGTGTCCCAGCTTGCTGATGTGCCGTGCTAATGAGATGTTATTGCCCAAAGTAATGAAAAGCATCTGTTTCTTACCTGTAAAGAAAGACTGAGGGCTGTTGCTGTTTGCTTGAAGGTGAGTTTAACAAGCTTGTCTTCCTTCTTAGAAAAGTTCACTGCATGTATTTTGCTCTTGGCCTCTTGGAGAGCAAAAATAGAATTCAATTCATGTGTCTAGAAAATTCCAAACGTGCTCTCCTGTTCCAAGTGTTTACATAGAGGGGTTAGCAGTACTCTGCTTTGTAGGGATTTCTTGTAAGGTATCATCTGTGTATGATCCATGTTTTAGTGAAAATACATTATCACTAAAAATTAATGTATCAACAGAAAAAATGTTTGACAGACATGTAAGAGATACATGGAATAAAGAGTGTGTTTAGATTTCATAAAGTTTTAATGAAGCAAATGCCTGGATTTACAGAAAATCACAGCCACTTAATTCCAGCAGCCCAGAGAGTCTTCAAGCCCTTGAGAATATAGGAATTAGATTTTTAAGAGGCTCTCTTCTCTTTGTATACTGCAAGCTGTTGAAAAATAAAAGATTATTTATTAATTGCTTATGAACTAAGCACAGGAATTATCTTTCCTGTGTCAGCAGCATGACAACAGCGGAAGAATATGCCCCAAAGTTTTGCTAGCCTGGAAAGCATTATGCCTGTGCAAAGCAAATTGTTTATTTGTTTTCACCTTTTATTTTTTTATGAGTGTTTTGTATGTACAGTTCTTGCCAAAATGCCTTTCTCAGAAAATTGAAAGCTTTCTTCATTATTGTTTGTATTTTTTAACTGAATGCCAAGAGTCTAGATTGTATCAGAACCGAGTCCCCTAAATAAAATCCTTTCAAATAAAACAAGCAGAAATAATCTATTTATCTCAAGGAGGTAAAATCACATATAAATAGGTTGAGATTATAGGGTGGCTCTTAGTGAAGGGGAAGCTTATCTGAGAAGCAGGAGATAAGCATAAAGCCTGCAGTCATAGTGACAATAAAAGGCTTCTGAAATAAGAAAAGATCTCTCTGTAAGTCAAGATACGGTTTGTGACTGACAGTCTGAAAGAGGGGAAAAAATTAAAACAGCCAAGTATAAGGATTGTTAAGAGGGAAGAGGAGAAAGGAAGAAGCTAAATATATAGCTAAGGGAAAGCAAAAGAAGTATGGAATTATTATTTCTGTATTTTATGAGCCCTTGGGCACATCTTTTCAGTGTTTTAGGGGAGTACAATAACCATATATTTAATACTGTATATATAATAATGTGTATAATAGTGCTATATATAATACTGACAATAAATGTGGTTATTCAAACCTGTTTGATAGTGGAATGGCTTTGTAATATTCATCAGTTACGTCTGTTCTTAACCTCTCAGCCTCTGTTCCCAGGTCAATGTCCCCAGTGAGTGTATTCAACACACCTGTTAGGGTTTTGTTTGGGTTTTTTTTGTTGTTTTGTAGTAGAAAGAAAATGTTTGTGAAAGCAAAGAAGGTACTTACTTACCTGTGACCCTAAGAGTTGGCATCTTTGCAGGTACAAGAGGGCACATTCTCAACAGTGCCAAGTGTTAGCTTGCACATGTCGTGCATCCAGAACAGGGCTCAAGAGTTGGATGGACTGTAGGAGCAGATGAATAGAATGGAGAGGGTCTTCTATATGGAGGGAAAATATTTTTAGCTTTATTTAGTATGAATAATCATACTACCCACAGGAGCTCCTCAGAAATGAGCTGGGTACATTACAGCAGTATGTATTTGATATAGAGGTTGGGAAACATCAAGGTAACCTCATCTCTACATACTACAGTGCCTGCTGTGCTGTAAAACTGACTGTAACTTCTGCCCAGGTAGTTTCTCCCTGTTTCATGTAATTCATTCTTCTACACAGACCTTTTTTTTCCCTCATATATTGAGCAGAAATGGTTTTGCTGATACTGTGCTTCCTCTGTAAAGAAAATTTTGTTTACTAATCTCAGCTAGGTATTGTCAGTAAGCTTATTGGCCATTTAAACATTACAGACCACACTAGATTAAGCTAACACTAATGGTTTGTTCCATTACATCTTATTTTGAGTGTTCTTGTAGAATTTAAGCAATTTCTTTTCTATATGGCATTCAGCTGTCCCAGAACACAAAATACAAGGTAGTATAAGAAAATTTTTGACATTCTAAAGATTTTGTTTGAATACAAAAACCTTATTAGTGGTCTTAGCTACACAACTTCTACTTACAGTAATTGGAGCTGTTTGCCTAAATCTTGGACTAGGTGCTCATCCTGGGTCCCATCCTACAATGAAAATATTCTGTTCTATTTTCCTCAGCTGTGAGTATTTCAAACCTTGTTATGCAAATCACAAATCCATCCACACTTCTTCTGGCAAATTGCTGCCCGGGAAAGCATAACTAATTTAATGCATTAATCCCTACCCTTGAAGCACAAACATCTATCACCTGAGCTAGCAAGACGTTAGTTAGGCTTGTGATCTTTCAAGTTGCTGTATCAGAGTGAGAAACAATGCACATCAAGCCTGAATGTGTTTTGTCTGCTTACACTGTGTGAATAAGAAAATACGTACAAATTTACCCCATATATATATTTTTTGTAACTTCTACTCTCCATCTTTACTAAGGTTGAACTTCATAGTAGCTATATATATATAACCCCTAATTATATTCAATGTTTTCTTGATTTCCTTATTATTGTTAGTAGTATGTGTAACATTTTGTGTATTATACATTCTAACTAGTCTGGGAATATCAGGTTTAGTATTTGTGTTAAGGTTCATAGTAGTTTTCCTTAGAAAGAACTCTGAGTATGTTCACAGTGCTTTGATTTTCAGACCTCCAAGCTTGATGCATCCAAATGAGGGCCCAGTTAAATACACCTCAGTTGGGAAATGCCAGGCACCTGGCTGTCCAGGAGGTAATGCTATCTTAGTCTTTTGAATTCTCACTTGAGAATCATGTCTGGCTGGGGAGATATTCCTTCACTCTTGTTCAAGCTGCCAGTGCTAGAAGCTAACCCGCCTGAATTTGCACTGCAGGAGTAAAGAAATATGTTGGAATGCATTTGTTTCAGTCAGCTCCTTTTTGACATCCCAGAGAGTTTCCAGGCATAAATAAAAATTACTGAAGGCAGCAGTAAAGCAGGGTTCAGGTTGAGGGATTTGAATGATTCATGAGCAAGGACTCTAATAGGGAAGAAGAATGGGCTCACAGAGTGGTGCTCATACACCTCGGTAGTGAAGTGTCAGACAGCTTGACTTGATAAGCCAGGATGATCCTGATTCAAAGCATTGCAAGACAAAGCATGAGCAGGTGTTAATGCCACCGTGTTCCAAGCACTGTTTTTAATATGAAAAGCAGTTTTCTTTAGAATCTAGCACAATAAAAAAAAGTGGTGTTCCAAAAGCCAGGAAGCAACTCTTTCCCAGTGAAATCATTATGCAAATGTAAATATAGAAGTTGAAATTTTGGCCTCTCTCAACTTGGTGGCTGCAGTTCCCTGCAGCTTTTGCCAGGATGTGTTACTGGCTGCACAGCATGCATCTCTTTCCATATGCACTTCTGTGTTTCATCTAAATGCTTTCTGGGGGAAGATGTGAAATTTAATTTCTGAAGTAGTACAGTTACTTTAAAATTTATATAGCCATTGTAGTAAGAAAAAATCATCACCCTTTGTCAGTTTCTGGCAACTTTTGCACCTCAGAAGTTAAATCACAGATTCTAATCTAATTCTTTATTAAGAAGATAAAAATCTTCAGGGTCACTGGCCTAGCTGTTAAAATCCCAGTATAGTTTCATTAGCACCAACCATATAGTAACTCTTAGGTATCCTTCACTACTCTGGTCTGTTGTGATTTTATTTGCAGGAATCACAGTTTGTGCCAGCCACAGACATCAGTGTCCCATTTCCACAAAACCATATAGCAATTGTAGTAGCACTACAAATGTTGTGATGGTTTCTAATGTGACCTTAAAACAGTGTTGCTTTAGGTGCAGTTCTGATAGTGTTTAGCAAAGACAAGGTGTGTGAGACTCAGGCTAATAATTTCAGCTGTATAGGAGAGGTGATGCAGAAAAAGAGGAAATACATGCACAAACACTTTTAGGTCATGTGTTTCAATAGGATTTTAATGTCTTTTTCTTACACATTAGTCTTACCACTATCACTCTTGTCTGTTTCCCATCATGCCTTTCTTTAAGGACAGTATTGTTAATATAAAGCCTTAGTCTGGTGAGAGGCTAATTGCCTTCAGTTTCAGTAAATTCCTAACTTAACCCTCTACACCAAACTAGCCAAAGACAATGGCATTAAACATGTGACTAAACGGCAAAACAGGGTGGTAAGGTGGCTTGCTTTTGTTTTAGAACTGTTGACAGGACCTTAATGGTAGCTTATGTTATTACCTGATGCTTTGCAAAGATCAAAGTTGTATTTAATTTTATAGTAAGCAATTTTGAACTGTAAAATTTTAATTTTTCTAACATTTTCTAACATCTAACATTACAGTAGATGTGTTTTTACAGTACACAGCAAGTTTTAGCATCCGAGCTTTAAGAATTTGACTCAGTGATCTTTGTGGGTCCCTTCCAGCTCAGAATATTCTGGGATTCTAAAGGAAAGCTTTGATGCCCTTGGTGAGCATGAAAGCCACATCCCTAGGAGCAGCAGGTGGCAGTGCTGTCTCTGCTCTCCGTTTTTAAGGCTCTGCAGCAGCACAGCTGGAAGAAGCCATTTCATGAAGAGTGTTTAATTGTTCAGGTTCCTGCAAACTAAGGCACTTCTGCTTATGGGCAGTGCTGACTTGCCTCATCAGGCTGGTGTGAACTTACCCTCCAGACTTCTTTCTCCACGTGATGTGTGTGATCAAGTGGCATTATCCTTCCTTTTTTTAATCCTCTTTTTTTTTCCCCACTGTATTTTTAACAACCAAGACAAAAGCAGAACAAATGAAATGTCATCTGTGGTCTCTGTTATCCCAAGAGGACTCACATAAAGTATGAATTAGGTCACAGGAAGTAAGATAAAAAGCATAACTATAAACTGAGAAAATAAGTGAACTGAAGATTTTTTATTTGAAAGGATGTCATGTGAATCACTGAGGTCAACAGTTCCAAGACAGGTTAAACTAGATGTCTGCCTAATCACCAAAGCATTCTGTCAGCTTCTTTATTACATAAATATGGATCTGGTTTTGTTTTTAATCTGAATCCCTCAAATGGGACATCTGAGTTATCTGATGCAGTGTCAGCAAAATAAAGCCCTTGGTGTCTCTGAAAAGACATATCAGTCAAAGTGGAAACATTTGAAAGTTCCCCTCTGAGATAATCTCTAAAATTTATTCCTGTTAGTACGGATGTCTTATGAAATGCTTTTTTCAGAAAGGGCTTGCATAAGAACTGGTGTCTTGATGCATAAGCTGAGAAAGGTAAGGGCAAACAGAAGTGGGAGAAGGAAATAAGCAGAATATGCTGACCCAATGTTCACTGCCAGAACTGAGAAAGGTGAGATGATTTGTCCATCATCCTGCTTTGGAATGAAATGGGCTGCATCTAGAAATGGGGTAAACTGACAGTATTAGCACAGATCAGCATTATGTGAGTGAAATTAAATTAAATGAACACATAAATGCAGAGTTCTGGAGGAATTACAGACCCATCTTCACAATTTTGTTAGCATTTTCAGAGAATCACAGAATAGTTATTAGATCATGATTGAGTCCAGCTGTTAACCATATTTTGTCCTTTCCTATTCCATGTGTCAGTTATTATTGCCCTTCCCACTGAATTATTCTTTTAGTACTCACAGCCAGGTATCAGTGCTGAATCAGGATCACAACAAAACTTTCGAACAAAAAATACATGAAGCCCAGTGGGGAAAAATATGGGGGAGTCCCATCTGAAGTAGAGGAACTGTTCATTTTATGATATTTCTGCAAGCTTCAGTGTTCTCACAAATGGAAAGAAGAGGCTAATGTTAAAGGGCAGAATGAGGAACAAGTTAAGAAATAAACTATGGTACATGTCACAAGAGGTTGGCAGTACAGCCTTCTGACTAGTTAGCTCAAAGAGGCAGTGAGGTCTTTTG